TTTACACATTGGCTACAATGACCATTTTTGTTCCAATATTTAACTTTTAGAAAAAATTTAACATTCAGATATGATATACACTATAAAATATTGATCATGTCTAATACAATTAAAATAACATTTAGAATAATAAACGATAGTTTTTAACGATGTTTACTCGGTCTGCAGAAAACTTGTGAAAAGCAACACATAACATTTAAAAAAAATACTAATTACATTAATTTTGTCTTTATATAATGTTGTATGTTATTTTTTTATTCGAGTTACTTCCAGTACGTCATAAGGTTTAGTATAACTGGTTTAAAGATTTCAGAAAATCTTTCCCTAGCGCTAATTTCATCGATTTAATCCATCACCGTGGGACAAAAAATTATGCTGAATTTAAGAACGAGCTACTGGGTTCTAGCGGAAAGTTATCACTCCTGGAAGGTTATAAAACACACGAAAAATAAAAAAAAAAATTTACCTACTGAATTATTGATTTTAAGAACAGAAATAATTATTGATAGATACTAAAAAAATATAAATATGTATAGTAAATTGAGAAATAAAAACACTGAGGTCACAATGGGCAAAATCCAACGCAACCGCAAACGTTGATTCAATTAAAGAATAAAAGAAAGCGTTGGAATTCATTTATAGACCCATCAATGAGTTTAGGAACGGCATGATAAATTTCCAATGGCCATGAATGAGCAAAGCGCTGAATTTTGGAACCCATAGTAAGTAACTCACAACTTGCCTCCAGCACGGCTGGAAGTGGAGCGTGGTGGAAGGTATTGCAGGCCCGTTCATTCATACCGTTAGTGCTCTAGTAGCCCCGGGGGTCTGAGCACGCTACTGCCGATGGAACATCTTTTTGTACCTTAAAATACTTTTTTTTTGGTGAATGTTATTTTTTAATATTAAATCGTCGTAAGGTATTAATTTATCTACTGAATTATAGGTTAAAAATAACTTCAATATGTAGTAAGAAAAATCTTTTGACTGGATCATTGCTGAACTTTCATTGCAGAATATAGCTTCCTATAATTAGATCAAATAAAGTGAATTAATTTTAAAAGAAAATAACATATTTGAAATGTTATGAAAAGATTATTAGGAATTGGGTTCATTCAGCCTCTTTTACCATACATAGAATCATATGGGTTCTTGAATTCTTAACAGCAAGGCCTTTTCCTCCCATCCCATTAGTAGTATATTCGTTTATCGTGTTTGAGAATATTAATCGAAATTAATTTCCTTTTTACTTCTTCAGGATGGAACACAAACTATATATATTTATCTCTGCTATAACCTCCATTCGGTCGTGGTTCTGAAAAAAAAAGTAATGGTAGTTCAGAAAATCATTTACTGTTCTCCAACCCATCCCGATCATCACTTTTTGAGTGAGTGAAATAACTAAGTCCATTCAAGGAATCTCTCTAGTTCGAGTCGTTAAAATGTTTATCTCGATTATTCTCCTTTTTTATATAGAATTTTGAAAATGCGATGGATGTAACTACTGTATAAAAAGGGATTCATATTTTTCATTTTTTAAATCAAGATGCCCCCAAGAGTGTATATGATTCTACAGATACTCACTTGCCTTTTATTGCATTGTTTAGCATAACGCTCGTCAATAAAGTACTTCCCTTCAGTTAATAAATTATTTAAACTTTGTCATTGACTATATTATTCTGTAACTCATTTGCAATTATGATATACTTTTAAGTTAGGTATATAATATAGGTAGTATATTTCATTTTTTTTTTTTAAATAAAAAAATCCCCCCTCTTTTCGAGATAAAGGATCGATTCGACACGGGAGCGAGAGAAGTTGCCCCCCCCGGAATGCCCCAAGGCCCGGACTGGAGACGGCAGGGGGGTGGGGCCTACCCGCCCCCGTTGCCTTGACAACCCCGATGACGCTCCCTTGGATCGATATCCCTCCCTCCTCATCTCCCTCCTCGTCCTCCCTCCTCATTCTCCTTCCCTCCTTGCCACACTCCGTCTCCCTCTTCCCCGTACTGTTTATCAACCCTAACCACGTCAACAGGCCCGCAGGTAAGGGCCGTCTGCTTTCTTCATTACACACCTCCGTTGCTTCTTCACCGCACTTCCTGTCTGTGGTTTTACTCAAGGGTCTTTGTAATTTTTTCTTGCTTAACATTGATTTTTTTTTCTCTTATGGAAAATAGGTTCTATCCTTGGTCCTCTTAAACATCAGTAATTCTTATTAAAAATGTTTTAACCCTAGGATGCAATATCAAAGAATAAATAAATAAAGAGTTAAACCAGAGAACATTAATTGGATTTTTTTTTCTAATATACACATATGATATTAAGGAGGACATAATAAAACAAAGTAAGAAAGAACACGAACAACACAGAACAAAGTGAAAAAAAAAAATTTCGAAACTAGTAAAACAGAAAAAAAAAATAAAAGTAAATTACAAAATTAACTAAAAATATGTAATAAAATGAAATAATATAATAACACAAAATTATAACATAAAAAAAAAGCAGCTCAATGCAGTATCATGGCCAGTGCCTCAGCGATGTTCTGGGCGGATCATATGGGTTTGTATATTTTTGGGCATTAGGTAGAGCTCCAACAACCCCCTCGAAAAAAAAGAAGTTATTGTTGAATATACAATTTTTTTTTCTTATTTTACAGACTTCCACATTTTATGAAACTAAGTCATAGCAATATATGCTGTTAAATTTAGAAAAAAAATGTTAATTACAAGATGAAATAAAAGCTTCGTTGATTAAATATAAAATTGTATAAATTAATTTATATAACAATTTTAAAAAATGTTACAAAATTGTTAGGAAATTTTTGGAAGATCCTAAAACCAAAGCCTATGTTTGGTTTGCATAGTCGTTCCTCTAGCTCCTCCACTTAAACCTTCAGTCAAATAGAAATAATTGTAAGATATTCAATAAAAGCTTTGAACTAATTTGATATTTCTTTTTATCTTAAACATTGGCAGGAAAACGCGTTAAAGTATAGTAACGGAACTGTTTAGATTTACATTTTTCTTTAAGTTTCATATAAGTATTCCTTTTTACAGACTTCCAAATTCCAGTAAATAATTTACGTTTATATTTAGGCATCATTAATAGACAGAAAATAAAAAATAAAATACTATTAGATTAGGTTGATGGTACAGTACTACAATTTTTTTTTTCAGCAAACATGAGGACAGTGTATCACTTTTTTTTGTGTAAGTGAAGAACTTTTTAATTGGTTATTTGCAAAGAGGTTTCGTTTTTGCCATCTCTCCCCGATCAATAAATTATATATTCCCGTGTTAATTGACCCCACAGTGGGGAGGGGGGGGGCCGACAAAGTCCAATAAAAAGTATGTAAATGGCAAAAAAAAAAGTTTGTTTGGGAAAGCCTTAATAGAGATGGTGTTTTAAAAGGTGTAGCGGGTAGGTTGAGATTACGACGAGTCCTCTCATGAATTATTAACAGAGCCGGGATCTGACCCGCGTGGCATTAGGGGGCTTAGCTTGCTCCCTTGGGGGACTTAATAAAGCCCATTGTTTGCTACCAACTTTTTGCCTATATTACTGTCTTCTCTCACTCATCTGATAACTTGTTTTCGTCACGACTTTCCTCGATGCGAGTAGTTGCCTATTTAACGAGGCTACCGGTTTGGCCAGACTTGTCCAGGATTGTCTGAGGATGTAATGGAAGCCCACACGACTCATCGTATGAGATGTGGCTTAGTTAATTAATTTAGCAGTTTCTACCGAAACTTCCCACGGCACACAACCTCCTGAAGAAGACCTGCAAAGTCGGTTCAAAACGTTGGCTTTAAATAAAATAGTTTGTTACTATTTAAGTCTTTTTATGACCACCATCTTCTTACTCATTAACTATACTAAATTGTTAGGATATTTTTGGAAGATCCTAAAACCAAAGCCTATGTTTCTTTATATAGTCGTTGATCTAGCCCCTCCACTTAAACCTTCAGTCAAAAAGAAATAACTGTTAGAGACTCAATAAAAAAGGACACCTTTGAGCCAATTTGATATTTCTTTTCTTTTAAACATATACAGGAAAATGCGTTAAAGTATAGGGTGGGTAATTAAAGTATAGTAACGGTATAGTTTGAATTTACATTTTTCAGATTGTATGAAAGGAGCGTTTTTTCATTAAGTTTCATATAAGTATTCCTTTTCACAGACTTCCAAATTCCGGTAAATAATTTACGTTTATATTCAGGCATCATTAATAGACAGAAAATAACAAATAAAATTCTATTAGAATAGGAAGATAGTCAGTCATTTTAGGGTCAGATGAAAAAAATTGATAATGACTTCTAATATTCGCCAAAAGTCTTCTTAGATAATTTTCCTACAGAAAACAAATTGATATCACCACACTTGTGCCCCATGAGGTGAAGGACACCATGCCAATTTTTTTACTAAGTAATTTAGCTGCTAAGAAAAAAATTTTAATAGCTCAAAGTTTTGAAAAATTGGTAAGATTTAGTAACTAAGAAATAAATTTGAATATAATGTAATTTACACTTTTATTAGAAGTGATTAAAAAGGAACTTTGTACTGAAAAGTTTAAAACTAAGACAACAATAAGTTCGCTAGTATTTTTAATTAACGAATAAATTCATTATTCCTACCTAAACAAAATAACTCAGTGTTATGATAGTTGACACGTATATGGTTGACGATGTTCGCGTAATTCAAACAGTTTTTATTAATTAAGCTCGAAACTATATTTTTAGTAGATGGAACAATTAAATATTTGTTCATAGTGTGAATAGCATGGGAAAAATTATTTGTGTAAGAACACTCCGCTATGAATGCCCTAATCGCTCTCCTAACCAGAAGACTGCATCATGACTTATACACTAACCCTTATCCCATCGGTGTTTTTTTTTTAATTTATTTTATTTGGTCTTCCCCTTCCTCGCCTATTAGACTATACAGGGATACTCTATCGGTGCAGTTGGGATCATTCCAAATGGAGCGAACTACCTCCAAATGGAGCGAACAAGATGGAGGAGAAGAGGCCCATTGATGAAGCGTACTCCCACAGTACCGTTAGATCCGTTATCGTTCCAGTTACCTCGTCCTGTCTTCAATTAGCTCTTCGCTATGCCAGTGCAAAACCTCTACATTTGTTTATATTTTTTATTATCAGCTGATTATGTAACATTAGGATTAATTCAATTGCTCATATCGGCTATGCGTGCAGTTTATATTATATGAAACGTACAAAACAGCGTATTGTAACTAGTTTCCTCAATATCTTTAAAGATGGGTGTTGTTTTAGAGCTGCCATGTATTTTTCTTGAAACGTCCAGATATATGCATTTATTTAATCTATTCTTCATTAAGTTTCTTTATTTGTGATAGTACGATCTTCCTGCAAGTCAATGTCGAAATATAAGGGCATCTAAGAAAAGTTGAGAAAAAGCCAACTTTTTTAACATAGCTTCAATTTAAATCAATTCTAAAGTTTTTTTTTCGTTATTCAACTTGAACATTCTTAAATAAAATGAGTTGAACCTTTGAAACAAAAATTCATTTTTCTCCACTTTTAAAAGTTACAGATATCCATCTTTGATATGAGGCAACTCAAATGAGTGTTTTCGGTGCTTTTATATTAAACAACTTTTTTTTTTTGCGTGTTGTAATGCCTGCGGCGGAATTAGTTCATATATTCAGCTGTTCATAGTTCTCTAACTGACAATATGTGCTTTTCAAGCTTATCATAATTAGTTTTTTATATTTACTTATCTTTTTTTTCTTTATTAATTATTAAATCTTGCTGGTGTATTATACACACCATCTTAATTTATTATAAAGTATATTGTTTAAAATTATTATGTACGTAGTTAAATTATGTTAATTCCATAGTTACATTCTTAGCAAGTTATACATAACAGTTATAGTTATTGGGTTATAAGGTTTTTATTAGTTAGAAGGGAAAACTATTTTACTCAAGAAAATAAATATGGTTAGTGAACTTATTCATCTGCAAAAAGAATGAATAAATTATAAAATATAATATATGTATCAATAATATCAAAATCAAATTTAGAACGCTAAATTTCCGACTGATAACATAATTAAATGCTAGACAGGGGTTCTAAATTATCCATTAGAAGAAAACGTAATGTTTATTTTCATTTAATAAAACCTGTATGGACTTAAAAATTCCAACCTCTAGCATTTTTTTAATTTAGGCAAATTCAGATTTTGGAAATGAGGTGTTAGTTTTAGAACTAGTCACTATTGTTTATTTCAAATAATTTTAAAAAATCTCGTATACGTTAATATTATAATAATATTATCCTGGTATTTCTCCCACTACACTTTATCTAGACAAAACTGTGTTGTTCATTACATGGCACATTACCCGCAAAAATTACTGTCATGATCGTGAAAGTAAGCACTATCAGCTGTACTAAAGGACTGAAGCTATTATTACTCGTAGTTTTCCTCGTCTTATGGCATCGTTAAACTTTTTTGGCAGTTAGATCTCATTTGCAGCGAGGTGTAATGTTAGGCCTGGCTGGTAATATCGCCTTACTCAGCACGACTCGACTCCATAAATCACCGACCTCTCTTTCTGTTTCTTTCTCCTACTTTTCGAGGAATTTTACGGTGTCATTTTTGATATTTTATAAGAATATTATGACCATAAGTGCTTGTTCAATAAATTGACGAAAAAAAAAATCATAAATAATCTTATTTTACTAATAGAAAAAACTGTAAGGAAAGGTAAATATAAAATTATTTAAAGAAAAATATCGACATATATAACTTAATCAGAAAAAATATTGTTTTTTTTTTTTTTTTATTCATTGATATTTACAACTGTATTATAAAAAATACAACTAGTAAATGTGCACACAGTAGTAATACAACCACATGAAAATGCTTGTTGAGAAACTACCCATTAATAGCACTCTAATAATATATTTACATAAGTAGATCACGAGGTGATCTTTTCAGACTCCTCGGAGGATATTTTTTAAATTTTGTTATTTTATTTTGCTGTTGACATTACAGACCTTGTGGATGTTTTGCCGCATTACCAAGCCTGCTCCATCTCTGCCTGTCTTTGGCTATTTCTTAATAGTTACCTGCATGCAGCTCTTTTGTATCTATCTATGTTGATTCTATCCATCCATCTGCTTTTTAGCCTTCCACCTGGCCTTTTGCCTTCTATTGAGGCATTCAGAAGAGGCTTCCAGAAGGTTTGCTACGAGCTAAATGCCCCGTCCCATCCTAATCTTCGTGCCTTCATGTCATGAGATATTGATTGACCACTTTCTACAAGGAGCTCATTATTGGTCTTTCATTTCCATTTGTTCCTACTGGAGGGATTATCTCTCACATCTTTTAATACTTTTTCTAGGGCGCTAGTTCGTGTCCAGGTCTCACAGTCCAATATTAGATCTGTCTTCATCATAGCATTGTACATCCTTGATTTGAGTATTATTTAATCACAAAAAATATATGCGCGAGTAATAGAAAACAGGAAATTAAATATAGCCTAGGGAAATATGAAAAAAAAAAACTTAAAAATATAAATTAATATTGGAAATGAAAATTGATGTATAAAATGTGAAACTGAAATTATTTTTCTGAGTGTTATTAACATTCTAGTTCAATAAATGACAGTTGTTATAATGACTAAATTGTACATTCGTACCATATTTACATATAATATAAATAAATTAATTGATGGAGGTTAGTCGACTGTTCTATATACAATGGATAATAGTCAGGATGCATAAGTTTCTTATTGTTGCCAATGTTTCAAGCATAGCATGTAGGTCAACATCAGACTTGTTACCAGCACTGAAGGTGTTCGAGTACTTGTGTTCGAACTTGGGATTCAATTTTTAATATTTGTGGTTGGATTTGAGTTCTCGAACTCTTTAAGGTTCATCTTCGACGAAGATCTTTTAAACCTGAAAAAAATCCGCAGTCATTTCGACCGTGCGAAATCCGTTTAACGAATTTGCGAGGCTCAGGAAAAAGTTTTTCAAGGGGTGGATTTTACTTTTGATAGTGTTTTAATTAAGGAGGGGGGAGGTGTGGGAGAGTAAGGGAGAAAAGCTGAATGAAAAATGCAAGCTGATTGGCCCTCGGGCGAAGGGAGTGGGGGAACTTTAATTGAGATGTATCCTCTAAATCCTTTAAGATGCTAACCCCCGGGCCCAATCAAAATGAAAGTGCCCTTACCCTTCCTCCAAATACCTTGCTCCAATATTAATGAGTCTATTAGGGCCTCCCTTCCTTTGCGGCGCATTTGGGCAATTGCGTTGTTTGCAAACTGTTCCTCTCCTAACTCTGTGCTCGCTGAGGTGCGAGTATTCCCATACTCACTATGTTAGATCAATCATGTCGTGGTTTATTGCAATTTATCAGGTTTCTCCAAACTACTTCCCGCGAAGGTTTATTTGATTAGATATATAATAAATCATTCAAAAAACAAGATTCCTACAACATTTATTGCATGCGTTTTTGATATATTATTTTCGATAATGAACGAATTGTGTTTGACCAAGAAAAACTAAATATTAGGTTTGATTTGAGGTTTGACGTTTACGATAAGTTGAATACGAAAATTCAATGAATAATGACTTCGGTTTGGGTGACAAGATTTATTTTACATACAACATACATCTTCGTAAATCACATCCAAACTCTCTTCTGCTAAGAGTACACTTTTTAGGCACTGAATTTGCAAAAAATAAGTTAGTTTAATTTTTTTATTTTTTTTATTGAGTATTATAATATTCTATCACTTGGACGAAATTCAAAGGGGATAACATAAACAGACGAAAAAAAAAAACAACTAAATAATAATTATAAAGTATTTACAATAAATAAAAAATAAAATAACTTAAAGATAAGTAAAATTAAATAAAAACACAGATATACCAATATACACTTTAAAAAATAAATAAAAAAGATTACAGGATGAACCAAAAAATCTTGAAATTTCAATTTTTGATAATTTCAGTTTTCTAAATTAAAACTACAAAAAAAAACTAGATATTATCATGTCGATATATAGATAAACCAATGTTTTTGAACATTGATGTATCGATGTTTTTATTAACACTATGGATGAGGATATATCGCTACTGTTATTGCAAAAGGTCGTTTGTAAAAAAATTTTTTTTTTTTATTTTTTTTTATTTAGACATATAATATTCTGTCACAGGGACAATAATTATATTGATAAATGAACACATTCACACCGTATATACAAAAAAGAAACAAAATTAACAAAAGTAAAATAATAACTAAATAATAATAAATAAAAACTATATACAATAAAAAAATAAAATAACCTAAATATAAGTAAATTAAAAACATAAAAATACAGTCGTGCCTATATACAATATATACAATCAGTAAAAATTAAGTTTTATTTCTTTACGATTTATTAGTATAATTTCATATTTTCTTTCCCTCTGCTATTTTCCATAACATCTAACTGCTTATAGCAGTAGTAGACTACAAAATGTTGCATTTACAATAGCTATATAATGTATTTTGTTGCTGGTTTTGATCTGAAATGAAGTCCATCTCATTGACTTGTTTTTCTCTCAACTTTATCCGATTCATTTTAGAATTTGTATTCTCTTACCTTCCTCCATCGAGGTAATTAGTTTATAATTTTCCTATTTCACGTTCTCTTGGCAAATAAGAAATCGAGTCGAGCCACAATCAGCAGACCCTTGCGAAACGGGATGGAAAATGTAAAAGGGAAAGGGGGTGGATTCCTTTGAAAATTTTCTTTTCACAGGACATCGAGTATTATTTATTGGCCGAGGCCTCTGGAGATATTCCCGTACCCGCCTTATCCCCTCCTCCGAGAATAAAAGATATCCTCCAGCCCCTGCTTTTAAGGAAATAAAATTCGTGAAAAAAAGAGGAGGAACTCTGGAAGGGGAGCTATGAGGGATTCATAATTGCATTGTTATGCTAAATTAGGGAGTCGGTGGCGTAGGCACGGATGGAATTGTTAATGCCCAACAGATGTCATAAGCTTTGTGGTTGTCTTTGGTTGGCGAATATATGCCTCCCTTCGGGAAACATGTCCCTGCAACTCGTTAGCATGATTGGAATAAATATATTGTCGGAAGACCAATGCCTTGTCCATCCAAATTCCATAAGATTTCATAAATATATATTATAATTAAATTGAGGTACAAAATCAAATAAAGTGACAAAAGTAAACAATAAAAGTTATTGAAGGAAATTTGGAGTAATGGTACAGTGTTTTTTTTTTTTTAATAAGTAACTCGTATTAACTAAATAGTCATTTTGATTTCAGTATTTTTTTTCTCACGATGCAAGTATAAATATATATAAATCATTAATTCATAAATGCCAATTTATTTTTTTTTTTTGTATGATGAAATTCGTTTACACCTTTTAGTTGAAATTTATTACTTCTTCTATTACCTTCAAGTCAAGTTAATTAAACTTGAAATTTCTCGAGCTATAAATGTACAGCTTGCGTTCCAACACTCATCGCCACTTAGGTCTAGTTTTAAGTGCAACAGACGAGAAAAAAAAAATCACCCGTTGTTCTCGAGGTGTTGTGATTAAAAGGAATTTGGTTGTATCTTATCAATTTACCAAGTATTATATTTAAATGTTTCACTTCGTAAAACGATTTAGGAGCTTAAGATAGAGTATAGATACTGCTATCACTCTGGACTGTTTATTTTCTGGTTAAAAGATATCAAATGTTTTCTTATTTTTGCTCTAAGACGTACAAATGAAAACCTAACCGTAAATAAAGAACTTGAAGGATTTTATTATTTACATAGGTCTAAAATACCTACAAATTGTCAGGTAAAATAAATTGTTGCACATCGTTTTTATACATGTACATAATCTCTACTGTCACTTATTACTCAATGTTGTTTTAGATTTAAATTTTTCTCGATGAATAAGTTTGTAATTTTATTTTATTTTTTTTAGGGAACGAGAGAAAGAGGAATGGTCTAACAATAGCAGTCCGAAACCTCCTCAGGTAATATAATAATATATTATAATTTCATTTATTCTATTATCTATTATGGTTATTAATACAATTTTATTTATTATTAATAGCCAATTATTTATCTGAGGTCCTTCCGTATGAATTATTTGAGTTAAATTAAATATTATATTTTACCTAAGTTTCATTTATAATTATTATTATTATTTTAATAATAATATTTTATTTGTTTCAGTTCGCTCCGTCCGGTCCTAAGCGTTACCTTCAATGCCCGGCAGGTTTTAAAATGTTACACCTCAAGAAGTTCCTACGGCTGAAGTATGGCCTCAGTGCCAACTGCAATGTAAGTTTATAGTATATATTAATAAATTAATTAGCAATATTTACATTACCTTGACCTAATAATAGTTTTTTTTACATATTTATATATTATAAATGAATTGTATGGAGTCATTTATAATATGATTAATTGCTTTATTGTTACTTAAAAATTCTTTGTGAATGGTCATTAGTGCTAAATGAATTAGAAAAAATATTTTTTATTGAATATAAATGAATTATTTAAATTTTTTTCTGAATTACGTTTTAAAGTTAAACGTGCTATATATACACCTTTAAAAAATTGAACTTAATTACTTCAGAAATTACTTTTTGACGTTCCGTGCTTTAATACCTCTTAGAAATTTCTCTATGTGATTTATTATTATTTTACAATTACATATTTTGAATTATTCAAGTATCTCATAGTTTTTTTTTCATGAAATCTAGTGCAAAATATCATCAATACTATACTCTTCCTTTATTTAATACCATCACAGAAATCATAAAGGGGAACGATATTTCAGTTTTGTGGAACCCAGAGGGTAAAGGGATATGGGGTCAGGGCGAAGATAAGATCAAATAGGGCCCTGCCCGCATTGGCAAATATTGGCTCTCCGCGTTGGTTTTAAGTAACTGTATGTCCCGGACTATAGTTTGTATTATGGTATACCTATTTTTTTTTTTTTTTTTTGTTTATTGTCTTCTTTTAAGGAATAACTTTTTACTATTCGATTATAATCATTAAATTATTAATTGATAATAGAACGTTTTCTTTTGATAGAGTACAGAAATAATTAAAACAGGAAAAAAAGTGATAAATAACATTAATAAATTTATAATATCTGTGCCCATTGAGACAAAATAGTCCTTTTTTAAAAAAAAAAAAATTTAAAATACTATCTTGTATAATAATATTTTATTGAAAAAATATCATATCGTCTCTGTTAGAAATTACATTTTAAGAAAAAAAAATTAAACAATGAGTAGAATTTAGTAATAATCTAGAGCTTTAAAAAACTGCAAATTATTACACAATTTTTTATTATAATTTATTTGCTTAATTAATTGATGATTTGTAAAAAAAAAAACATTATTAAAAGTGATAATTATAGTGATTTTTTTTCTAGCCCCATGATAAAAACTATAATCGACCACCGTCCTGAAACAATGCGGTTGGTTATATCGAGTTCTGTGGATCATATTGAGGTGACCTGTAAATTTGATGCTGAATCTGTTAATTTTTTTTTTTTTTAACATATCTATTGAAAAATAATACAATCTGTCACAATTAAGGGCATTTATAGTAGTGTTCAGAGAGCACATTCACACTCTACACACTCGATTTACATTAAATAAAAATAATAATAATAAAAGTAAATGTATGGAAATAAGAATAGAAAAGAATTAGCATATAGATCTTAGAAAAGCGATGGACTGAAGTATATTTTTTTTATTTAGACCGAATGTTATATCACTCAATAATTTTTTTTTTTTTTTTTAATTAAAGAAATATATTTGAAAAGTAATAGATTTGAAACGTAAAAGAACGTTTTTTTTTGTTTCCTTGATATATCTCAATGAAAATAATTAACTAAAATTTATTCAAAACTTTAAGAAGCAATGATAAGTAAACTTTTTTTTCACTACTAACTTATATTGACATATTATATTGCTTAGAGATTTTTTTTTTAAATTCAGGTATTAATGGTTTACAGCAGGAAATAATAAAATAGTAATATTCCTGTTTTAGTTAATACAATTTCGTTCTTAGTTATTTTTATAAATAAGTAAATTTTGTAAAATAATGGGAATGCGAAAATCCTTGAACATTTGAATTTTCTATTAACATTAATTTATTAATAAAATTATCTAACATTAAAATAATTCCGAAGCATATCACAATTAAATGTATTGTTTTTTATGATGAGATTGTTAATAAATAATATAATTTGATTATAATTGCTCAAAAATGTGGGTATGATCGTTTCTCGTGGACACGTTTTTTCTACGTAACTTTTATACGCTCATGGCGTATTGAAGCTCTTTCATTTGAAATCTAAATATTCTCAGCCGTGAATCCATTCATAATTACCTTCTTACAAGTGGAATACCATTTCCTTGTGAATGAATGAAGGGGACAGCCGAAATTCCCGGCAGAGCATCTGATTAAGTATGAGAGTAGAAAGATAGTGGTCTAAGCTCAACTCCCTGCACAACCCCGCCAGTTTATTAGCTTCTTTATCTACCATCTCCGTCGGGCCGCTGTCGGCTGGAACCCTCTCCCCCCATTTTTTCCAATTCGGAATTCTGGCTATGTCCTTCGATTTTTCTTTTCCTCCTCGCCTTCTAACGAATAGTTCCACAGACATTGAAATTTCTTTGTAAATAAAATGAAGAAGAGTGTAGTAAAATTTTTGTAAATGTGCATTTACAATCAATCTCAGATTCACATATTATCTATCTATGTGATAATTAATTTTTAGTCAATGTATTAAATCATAGAAAACATAGTCATGATAAAGATATGGTTTATTCCAATGAGACCATCCCCATTTTATGTTATTATCCTTTCCTAAAAAAATCAATTAAATGTTTTTTTCAGTAATTTAACCAAACCTTTATAATTTAAAAAAATAGTAATTTTTTAATTTGACTACGTTACAGGACAACCTTTGTACATTTTCAAGAAATTGTTTCCTTATTTATTTATTTTTTTTTTCCTTTTCCTGTAAAAAAAAATCATAATTTTAAAAATCGTAAAAACTGTTTGTTCTTTCTTGTTTATTATACAAAAACAATACATTGCTCTTCTTCTATTCAACTTGTCCGAAACGTTAAAAAATGAAAGGTTTTTGGAAATCATTCTCTAATTTTATATCTAAATTTCTCCTGTTAATCTCGAATTCATTATTCATCCCTATTAATAATAATTATACTAAGAAGAAAATATTTCTATAAACTGCTTAACCTTTGTTTTCCAAATTTTAGTATATTATTCTAATTTATTAATAGTATTACATTATCTCTTCATAGGTCATTTATAAAACATAATATCGACATAATCATAATATCACCTGAGCTCATTTATAAAATATTTACCTCCTACAAACGTTTCATCTTTTCTTTTGTTTTGATGTCTCTAAAATGATGATTTTTTTTTTATGGAATAAATAAAAATTTTAAATTTTTTTTCCTCGCAGTTACAAGGTTTCACAGCTTAAGGTTTAACGATTAGTTTTTATAATTCCTGCCCCACAAGACCGGTTTTTGTTTTTTTTATAGTGGTTTATGAAAATATCATATTTTCGACGGATTAATTTCAAAAACCTTTTTTTTTTTCATCTGTATTCTATAAAATCGTCTATTTAATTTTTTTTTTTAGTATCATGGTTATAATGTAGCTGAAGAATCAAATGTCGATATTTTCGAATTTTGAGTTTTGTTGAATAGCGACATACCGTCAGTTGTACAGAAACATTTAAGAAAAAAAAAAAAAAAAAGCCAGGCGAAGGGGTGCAACGTAATAGCGTCAAGTCAAGGACGTCCGGTGCAATCAGGCGCTGATGAGTCAAGTGTCAGTATGTCGTCGCACACTACGCGCGCCGCTCCAATCGTTCACGTTTTTTTTTTCTTTACAAATTTACATAAACAACTCGAATAAGTAGTACTGATAGTTTCAATCATAATAACACACCGAATTATTTATCTGACACTTGGTGACTCGCCATGTACTCGAGCGTGATCGTACCGACAGGTACATAAACAAACATGTCGGCTTGATGTAATGATGATTAACAGCTCTGATTAGGGGGCTATGAATATTCAGCTGATGCCATGCCTGAGGCCGGCGGTCAGTTGGGGCCGAAACCCCCAGGCACCTGTTGTCCGCCTCTATCTAGGATCACGATCTAACTCGGACAGTGGTAATTTTTGACATACTTGTTTCCGCTAATCTGATCGTGTCCGGCGTAATTGTTCCGTGTAATAGCTGCATATCGAAGGAGCAGTGAAAGGTGGACCGATTTCCTGTGTTTTAATAGATTCCTGATAAAAAGTCTGTTGCTATTATTACTACTAGACGTATTAGTTACTTCATTACTAAAACAAGAATGATGAATGAAAATCATACGCTTATGCTACATTCTTAAAAATATACGTTGTAATTAAAAAAAATAAAAAGATACATAAGAAAAAGTTAAATTTTCATTCATCATCAAGTTCATTTATTATATCTAAATGAATGAAATAGCTAAATGAAATGATTTTATATGTGGAGTGAAATATCTCAAAAACTACAAATCGGGCCTGCGTACTGTAAGCAAAGAAATTGTTCAGCATTTCATCCTCTGTTTAACAGGCTATAATTAAAAATTTTATCTTAACACGACGCTGCGTTGGAGAGGCTAAAAGGGGAAAAACCGTGTCGAAAACCAAATAATAACGAGTTTTATTAAAAATGTGGGTTAAAATATCTCAGAAACCTAAAATCGGACCTGCATACTGTAAACGAGCGAATTGTTTGGCATTACATCCTCTTTATAATGATCTAATATTTATAATTTCTGTTTCATATTATTAATCTCGCCCTGTTGATCTTTTCACTTCTATTGTGAGGTCTAATGCACAAACCTTAGTTTTTTTATTGATCCTTATCCATCATGAATTAGTACTCTGATCACAGGTAACTTTGTTTCTCGTACAGACGATTCTTCTCTCAAAACTTTAAATAATTCTTTCTAAAGTGGTTACCTTAGTTTTTTTTTTTTTTTTTTTTTTTTTATGGTACTCTTTGTTTGATATTCCCTGCTCGTTTTTTTCTTTTAACGATAAAATGTCGGGTCGATGTTTTAGGGCAGACTAAGACAGGCTTAGAGACCCATCTGTCCTTTATAAAGTTTTCATTAGCTCGGATCCGGAGAGGACCCTCTATTTGGCTTAGCAGTTTGGAATCAGTCTTATGTTTGCTTTGGGATTTCCACCGGCTTGTAACTGTAGCATCCTAGTTACTTATGCTACGATATTAAGTTACAGTTGTATCTATATTTTCATTCATATTGATACATTAATGTCGATTATATACAAAAAAAAATCTGTACCACTACAACTCATGGAGGTTCTTGGATTCAAAACTCAACCGCCTGGTTTTTTTACTTAATTAATTATTTAATTAACAGTGCCCTCTAATAGAGGATCATTTCACCTCTATAAATCCCAGAATAGTTCTCTTGTACTTGGATTCATACACGGCTATTGTAACAGAATAAATAATTACATACTAATACCGGATTCGTACGTGAAATCTTTAGAATAGAAGCGCAGTGCCTTAGTCACTGAGATATCCCGTTTAATAATAAATATTATAAGTTTGATCGTATTAAAGAATAATTAAAGATTGTATATATATATATTTGTATTTAAGTATATAAAGATATATTTTTGTATATCAATGAATTTCATATTAATACTTTCTTGTTTTGGAAATATTGCTATTTGTCTCGTAAGTAATAGCTGAAAATGGTTTTGCAGTACAGTTTGTTTGCCCAATTTTTAGTCCGTTTCTTAATTTATTTATAATATTTTTCGGTTTATTATTTTCAACAATCAACCATTGTGATCGACCGAAAAATTCATAAACTTAATCCCCTCTCAAAATTTGAGGTTTCACGTTTCACGATGCGTAAATTCGAAAATCGAATAAAAATTTTTTTGTCCGTCGCATTTTTTCCGAAACTACTGGACCGATTTTTTTCTAATTTGGATATAAAATCAGAGGTCACCCAAGGATGATTCTCCTTCATAGACTACTATCCGCCTTTTACTTTCAAAATGGTGACCGAAAAACCTGCGTTGCTATATACTGTAGTAGCTCCTAAACGAATGTACCGATTTTAATGAAACTTTGCTAAAGTCATTTTATCGCCGCTCTTTAAATTTATCTATTTAACATATTTCTACGAAAAGAAGCTGGAAAAAAAGTTACGAGGGATGGTAAAATTAAATTCCGAATAACTCAAACAGTTTACACTTTTTTGTAGGTATTGTATATGTTTTTTTAAAAGTTTACGAAATCTCCTAAAAAAAAAAAAAATCGTTAAAATCGGACCATTGGGAGCAAAGATAAAGATGTTCAACTCCAAATGTTATATCCTTTGTTTGGTTTTTAAATTTTGAATGTGTTACTGAAGTAATGCTATTTTTTTTTTGTGGTGTATTACTTAAAAAAGTTTAGTCCAATAATTGGAATCACGTTTTATTTATTTTTCTTTGTAACTAGGAAGGTAATATTATTTTAGATGTATGATTGTTTGGAAATAATAAACCATTGTGGAATAATTTGCAGCGTTTTTTAAATACGACATCATGGAAACTAACGGCGATTCGTTAATTATTTTCTATTTCCCAGATACTTCTCACATTCTGATCTTTTGAGAAAGCTGTATGTTGTCCGTTCGCATTTGTTATGTGTTGTTTTAAAGACTTCGATCATGAGAATTGTTTTATATTAAGATTTAATTTATTGCGTGCTTTTTACTTCCGTTGTTCTCTAAATACTCCGCTTGCCTCAGCTTGGTAGAAGATTTCGATCCTGTCCTCCGAATAATTGAATATATTTTCCAAGCGTTGTTAAAAAGTGGAGGAATTGACAAATGACTGAGAGAGAGAAAGTGCAGGCGAAGATATACGAGGCGCTAATTGGTCGGTAATGAGACGTGGCAACAGCGCCCCTCCCCACCCCCCACCTGCCCACCGAAAAAAGGTAAATCTAAGCCAAGGGCACCGCACTAGCTGTCTCTCTCTGCCTTCCTTCTGCCACCATCTCTGCCACGTCCTACGCTCAGTGAAGGGTCATCTTATTTGCGTAAATCCTATTGCTTAGAATCCAGTTTAAAGGATTAGTGGATTCAGGGGAGAGGAGGGAGTTTTCGGACTGATGTCCGCTCTCCATCCCCCCAAATAAAAAATAAATTTGTATTTCATTGATACATATCTTTTTCCTATGAGTGATTCTTCAGCTATTAAATATGAACTCTTGTCAAGAAAAAACCTCTGGTGTGCCCACTCACACGACTTTCCTACCTATTTCAGTTTTTATATCTTTTTTACATATGTCCATCAAGAAACAAAAAGAAATTGAATTAGGTTTATTTTCCTGACATTTGGTCAAAGAAAAGATTTGAGTACGATTTAATCGATGAACTAAAGCTGTATTGATGAACTAAAGTTGCTGTTTCTGTTAAAAGTAGAGGAAATAGTGAAGTTTGTGTGATGCGGGCAACAGATTTTCTTGCTTTCTTTTTTCTCATATTCACCCCTTTCTGACACCAAGATATGAGCCCGTAATCTAACATTGGAAATTGAATGGCTGTAACTTCGTAAATAGTTGTCCGAAATGAAAGATTTCTATTAAAGTTTTGTAGGGAATTTCATTACCTTTCAAAAAAAAAAAGGCTAAAAATGTGTTTAAATGTCTCGGGGGTTCTGAAACGTATAGATCCGTCAAAAACCGCATATCGGAAATTTGGCCCGATTACAATACTTTCCTTACTTAGTATAGGTGTGTCAGTATAGGTAGGAAAGTAATAAATTAAAATAGCAAATAGAATATGCTGTATCATCGCTAATACTGGTTCGATCCCGATGATTTTTTTTTTGTTTGTTTTGTTGGTAATTTAATTACCTGTAGATAGTTTCATAATATATTTTACCATAGAATATATACTTAGCGAGTTAAGACCCAAAACATTTTTCTTTTCTTCATAACTTTTTTTCCTGTATTTTCTCGAGAATTTATTCCATATACGAAAATTGCAAGGACAACTATTAGAGCATTGTAGGAAAGTTTCATCAAAATCGTTAGAGCCGTTTTTGCGCTATAGTCTATAGAAAAACATATTTTTCATTTATTGCTCAGCAGCTATCCAATTTGTTTCACAGGCATGAGTAGTCAAAACGAAATCGGTCCAGTTGTTTCCGAGAAAATCTTGGCACAGACGGACAGACCAATGGCTAAAAATGTGTTTTTCGAACTCAGGGCTCTGAAACGTATAGATCCGTCAAAAACCGCATATCGGAAATTTGACCCGATTGCAATACTTTCCTTACCTAGTATAGGTAGGAAAGTAAACAGTATTTATTTCTAAAAATAAAACAAGCTAGCCTTCCCTCCTCCAAAATAAATCTTGAATCTGCTACTAATTAATGGAATATTTTCGTAACACTACAGAAACTGAATCGAGTCACAATAAGCTTCGCATATGCGTGAGCTAGGATGTGCGTGGTCCGGCAGTAACCCAATTGACTTGTGTGTTGCATGACACAAGTTCCTAATCAAGGATTCACTGTTCACAGCCAACTGCGCTGGTCTCAACCGCTATAAAATTGTCACACTTCCTCCCACAATACAATTTGTCCGAGATACAGCGTATCCCCGTGGGTAAAAAATAAAATATTATTCATATAATCAAATATCTTAAAAACTCCTATTCCCTCGTTGATTTGTCATTCCTTATTTGTCCATAATTAAAACACGAAACGTCATCCTTCAAGAAACCTTCAGTACTGAAAACATGCCCTGATGATGACCCACATGCTTGGGTTGAAACGTTGGCAATAACTATAAAAAACTTAAAAAGACAGCATCCAGACTATTTATCACCTATGATATGTAGAATAATCGACTAACTTCCTTCAATGTTACATATTATACAGTTCCTTAGAATATTACATTCTTTTAAGTTTATTATGTATATTATTGATGGAACTTTGTTCTGCATATCATGGGTGATAAATACTCCGGACGCAGTCCTATTTAAAAACCTAAAAATGACTGAGTCCTGAATATTTATCATCCATATTATAAATATTATTTTATAGTTTGTATTGTTTATTACGTATTTCATTTGCCTATCTTATCATGTATTCACATCATTCTGCATTTATTATTATTACTTATTCATCCCTATTATCTGTTGCATAATATTATATCTCTGATATACAATTTAAACAAAACCAGAAATTATAATTGTAAACTAGAGATCATGTAATGACATCGTTCCAAGTCGTTCAGCTTCATCTTTTTATAATAAAGGGTAGACTAACGTATGAAGTTTGGTGTGATGTCGATTGCTTAAAGGACAACTCAGTATTGGTTCCTCCGAAGGAGGGTTTTTCTATTGGACAATAGGACGCTCCTTACATAAAGGCGCAGAAGAGTGAAAGCGCCGGGTGAGGAGGGAATCAACTGACATTTCTGTTCTCTGCCCTTTACAGCTGATCTCACCTCACGGATTACGTAACTGTCCCTCACCCTGTCTGTGATATCAGTTTTGGGGGATTCAGTCGTAGCACTCCGGAGTATTCTAACAAAAAATATACATACTGGGTCTTAATGTAAAGTAATCAGAATTCCTTCTTGTTATTTGTTTACGATGTTTTGAAATATATCTTCCTCTCGATATAATTTTCTAGTCATTTTGTCTTTTATCATTCTTCCATTACCAACAAATTCGAAATTAATTATTTTGTTTTCTTTTTGTTTTAGGTCGATATTATGTACAGGAGGGAGTGCCTTCCAGATTCCTATTCTCTAATGGATGTCGCATACATCTATACATGGAAAAGAGTGAGTATCTTATTTCAGTAAACTGATTGAATCAGATAATTTCACCTTAAATGTTTACTAATATCGCCTCCTGTTTGTTACAGAATAGCCCTATGAGGTTTTATTACCGTATGCCAGACGTGGTAATGAAGCAGCTGACAGCTCCGCCTCCAGAAATACCATGTATTAAGAGCACGGAAGATAATAAGGAGAAGGAGAAAGTTAAAGAATCCGACATGAAATCGCCCTCGAAGAGTGTTGAAAAGAAACCAGAGGAAAACAAAGAAGAAGCTAACAATGAAAACAACGATACTATTGCTAAAGTGGCGAAACTGGATACAACTGAGACACCTGAAAAGCTGAAGGTTGATGGTGAAAATAAAGAAGAAGAAAAACCGAAAACTGCTGAAATAGTTGAACAAACAAACAGTATATCGTCGTCTAGGGCGTTGTCCAAGCAAGACGAACTCTCTGTGAGTGTTCTACTGTCCTTAGGGCAATGTCGAGTGGACAATAAAGACGACCACAAATTCCTCGTACCCAATCCTGTGACTCCTAAAAACGGTATGGTAGAAAAGAGAAATGGAAAAGTGAGTCCCAAACCGTCCGTAAACAAAATAGCCTCGGATTTAGCGGAACATAAAGCTCAGCAACCGCAGGTACAGAATTCTAGTCCTCAAACATTGCCCAATTCCATGTCCACTCCAAACCAACAATTAAACATGTCGCCGCAGCAAAAGCAGCAACAGTTGCAGAAGCAAAAGATACAACAAATGCAACAGCAAAAGAAACAACAGCAATTGAAAAATCAACACGTCCAGCAACAAAAACAGCAGCAATTTCTACACCAAAAGCAGCAGATGCATCAATTGATGCAACAACAACAGCAAAAGCTTCAGCAACAACTGCAACAGCAACATTTATTACAACAACAGCAGTTTCAGCAAGTTCACCTTCAACAAGTACAGCGACATCAAATGCAACAGTTGCAAACACAACCACAAATCTTACAGTTTCAAGTACAACCTCAGCTACAACTACAGCACGTTATTCATCAAATAAAAGAAACAAAACCACAGGATCAACAGTCTTCACAGCTCGTATTGGCACAGCAGTCGGTCGTTGAACAGCCTGTAGTTACAAACCAAGTCAAACAAGTTGCAAATCAGATACTAAAGGTTCCTAAAAGCCCACCTGTCCTACATCAATCTCAGGTACAGTCGCACCCGCCACAGCATTTGGTGCAGCAGCAACCATCACATTTGTCTCAGCAACAACCATCACAGCATTTGGTACAGCAGCAATCATCACAACATTTGGTGCAGCAGCAACCACCACAGCATTTGGTGCAGCAGCAACCATCACATATGTCACAGCAGCAACCACCACACCATTTAGCGCAGCAAAGTCCAACAACGCAGACAGTGTCACAGGAACCGACTCAACAGTTAGGTCAACAACAACGGACCCAATCGCCAATGCAGTCACATCTGTCTCAACAAACAGCACATCAGCAAATTCATCAGCAGCCAATGCAGCAACAGTCTACTCAGCAATCAGCCCAGCAGCAACAGACCCAGCAATCAACCCAGCAGCAACAGACACAGCAGTCAGTCCCCACGCAGCCAACACAGCAGTTAGTCCAGGCTCAAACACAGAAGCCTCAGAACCAACAAATACAGCCTCATCAGTCACCTCAACATCAAAAGTCATGGCCGGAACCTGCAACACCGGAAAATCCCCCAATTAACGGAACAACAGGCGTTCAAAACCCACAAGTGACTTTGAATACTAGTAATGGAAGCGTCACCATAATGGCCCAACTCAAAAGCCCTCCTATCGTTTCGTCAACGGTTGGAGCTACAGCTAATACTCCTGGATCGCCTATCCCTACCATGAACGGAAAGTCTCCTGAAACTCCACGACCACAAGGTATCCACCAAAATCTACCTAGAACAGTCCTGCCAAAGTCACCATTCGTCAATGGTAAACCTTTACAAAAGTCTATCCAACAAAAAAATATCTCGGGTCAACGACTGAATAACAATTTACCCGAGGGGAAGAACGGTATTATACAACAAAGTAACATTAACAATAGATTACCCACATTCCAAAAGAATGGAGGGTCAGCTCGCAAAGCAGGAGTCCCCGGTGGGGTCCTCAGTAAGACTGGCCCTACTCTAGATCAGCGGATTCAACAACTTTATAATTCGGGTCAAACGAACAAACCGCCCAGTCCCGGAGGCAAGTCCGAATCCAGGTTGGCAAGTTGGCTAAATAACAGATTCAAGCCTCAACCGGTAAAGGAGGAGGCTGAAAGCACAACGCCTGCATCTCCTCCTACTACGAAGGAAGTGAGCATGCAACGCTATAAACGCAAATTGCAGGAAATGCAGAAGGTGCAGGAAATATGCGAAATAACGCAAGAAAATCCTAAACCAGACGATGCCAAAAAGAGGAGGGAGGTGACACCAGACGTCTCGATCGAGTTGATGAGAGCTGCGGACATGAAGAAGCTAGACAGCACGAAGAAGGAGAAGCGGCCAGTGCCGGGGTTGAAGTCGATCCAGGAGGTGGGGGCCAAGAGGAAGAAGGAGGAGGATTCGGCCCTCGACCTGAGCAGGCCCCAGCTCCCCTGGCTCCTCAGCAGGCCCACCCACTACATCCCGAGCCCCAGGCCCACGTAGGGGTAGTCTAAGGCCTCTCTTCTACTCTACTCTAGCTCATCTTAATGTATACGAATTTAGAAATCTCATGGCGTCCCTATCGACTGACTAATCTAAACTTATTCTTTCGGTAAATACTACTATTTTATTAATGCTGATAATGTAAGCAGCATGTGCATACTTCATGTAAAAATGAATTAAAAAAAATAAAAAAGTTGAGAAAAAGACAGAGACAATTTTCTATGTCTGTAATACTCGATGTTACTATGTTCGAGTAGGTTGTAATTTATTTGCGTTGATTTCGCAGCTCGTATGTAAATATTTTGTGATGTACATTTTTATTTTTGATTGTTTATATTATTTTTTCTAAAAATTAATTTATATTTTCACATAACCTATGTAATTATATAACGATGCACAGCATCGTTGTACGTTTATTGTATATTGTGTACATTATAATTTCATGTCCATTATTCTTTGAAATGTCTGAGGTAGTATTAGAGGCCGGATTTGTACATATAGTTAGATTTGTTTTATTATTCAGACCCTTACCTATTGTTTTACGGTATTCTTTCTGTAGTCTAACTTAACTAAAATACAAGAAAGACCATTCATGACGTATTTATTTTGTAACGGAATACAAGGTATTTTGTATGTAGGAATATTCAATTTCTAATTGTATTATATTGAAACGAAAGGAAAAAGACAAAAAAAGAACTGATGTTTTCATAGCAGTGCCTCTTTGTATATACATATGTATATAGATACATTTATAAAATTGTACTGTTTCATATTTTGTGTAAAATATTGTATATTTTAGTATAGTTTTGAATACATTACATAATGAAATGAATATCATTTTTATTACCTATATCTTTATTTCTTCTCTCACTATTGCTTAAAATGATGAAAACAATATAGAATCCAGTAAACAAAATATTAATATCATGAGAAAAAAGAAACGAACAAAATAATGATAAATGTTTATGACTACTTAACATACATATAATGAAACAGCCTGACGTTGTCGCTGGCTCATTGGAGCTAAATGTAAGTATAAGGTTGACATAAGGTTTTTTTTTAACTTTTTATAGAGTGATATAACGTACTGGCACAATATGGACAATAGCTATAGTGAAGAAAGAGTACATTCACGCCATATTTACTAAAAAATATAAATAAATTATATAAAAAAGAAGCAAAATAACTACCAGAAAAGCTAAATGTATACGCAAAAAAATAAATAAGCATAAAATAAAACATAAATATAAATAAAACTAACATATACAAAAATACTAAATTAAATAAAATTAATATTAATAAAAGAGGTAATCACTTCATACAAACAAATACAAAATATTTCATAATAACTTACATGGAAATATCAACTCACTAATTCAAGGCTTTGCCACAACCAACATGCCTGACAACATCTATAGAAGGATCAAAAAAAGCTGGATAAGAGAGCTCCTCCACTAACAATAAATATTAAAATCGAAACAGAAATGGAAACCGTTAATCACTCCTCTCCTACACAACTACCTAAGACCTGCAACAACTCTAGTTTCCGACAGAACACTCGCTGGTTGTCGGAGATTCTGATAGTTGTGAGTAAATTAATTAAAAAATAAAAAATGTAGATCAGGTTATCCTCGGTTTGCTCACCATGAAAAAAATATATAAGGTTCGGAAAAGATTTGACAGACTTTTTCATATAGGTAATTAGATGAAACCTATTGGACAGAGGAATCATCATGGTTTGTGTTGTTCCCGTTATTTCTTATAAAATTTAATAGTTCTTGTTACCACAGCCTAACTTCATAATAGACTAAATAGAAAACTAATATAAACGAATAGAAATATTTAATTAATCACTTGAGTCATATATTTCAACGGTGAAGAAACAGATTACGGTAGCTTGAACTGATCTATCGACAGCTAACAAATCAATTCTCTTTATTGAACAATGGTTTCAATTTACAAGAGCCTCACCTTACGGTAGCGACCTCCGTAACTCTACCCTGACCTCATCCATGCCCGCGCTTGCAATTATTATAACCTGTTTTGTTGTATAGAAAATAAATTGGTGGTTGGTAATTCATCGCTTTATCATATATTATGTTTAACAATCAATTCTAATAGCTAAACGGTAGAAACAGTCATAGTTCGGAATCAGTATAGTTAACTTCACAGGTGGACTTACGGGTAGAGCTTCAGAACGATAGCCCCTTTCCGTAATCTCCCCCCCCTCGAAAAAAAAAATTGGAAAATATAACCATGTGTTATGAAAAAATATTAAGAAATTATTTCTAAGATTTCGTGTAATTATATTTAATAGGATTTCTAGAATCACGTCATAAACGTTTTTTAAAATAATAAACGTTCTTCTCTTAAAAGTTTATTTGGAAAGATGCAAGGGAAAAAATTCTTGTTCCGAAACAACTGAGAAAAAAAATTTGGTGAGCGCAACAACCAACTTTCACTTACACAGATCTACTTTGAATAGAAATTATTTTCTGGCAATGTTGGGTTATTATAAAAATTTCAAGTGCATTTTAAACGATGCTAAAGATCAAAGCTTACACATAACAGATCATTAAGACCATTAAAATTAAAAAAAGTCTATTTATTACATCGACGGTAGGAAATAAAAATCTAGTTACTGCATCTGCTTTTATATACCACACAAGTTCAGTCTACAAGCCATTCAGTTGACAGAATGACTAACTCCAATTTTTGAGTAATGTCATTTTAGTGATATTTCTAGTTGGAAAAGTTGTATCCATACAGACAGTGAGTATGTAGATTCCAGAGTAGGTGATTGCAGTTTTGAAATATTGAACTGTGAATAAAGGTATACCATTTTGCCACGAGAAACATCACTAAAATTAATAATAAAGAATGTTGAAATTGGAGATAGTCATTCTGTCAACCGAAAGGCTCATATATACCTAGAAAAATTTGTAAGTACATCTGAATATTTAATCTACAAATGATTATGGATTGTAGGACTGTTAGTTATTAAACTGTTATTTTCCATTGTAAACTTTACTAAAATGAAATTACGAGATTTTCAGTGCCTGCCATGGACAGGTCAAAAATTGTCACACGAATTGTAAGTGGATAATGTTGGAATTTCTCAAAGGAAAAATTCATCAAATTATTTACTAATTTAATTTTCTAAAAGATTAATTGATAATTTTTTGGGATAATCGAACTATCGTTCATCGATTAGATACCTAATTATTTAAATATAATATCATATCTAGAGTAATTAAACTACAGTAAATATATTTAAGGTTATAAACATATGCATGAAATATTTTTATATTTCACTTCTTTTTTCACACTAGTACAATGAAATGGTATTTTAAACAATGACATAGGATTGATTCGGTGGATTTTAAATACTTTTTCAAACTTAGAAATAAATTTAAAAAATTTAATGTTTAATGTGATGAAACATGTGATTTACGTTAAATAATGTTAGTTTTCTGAAATTATTATCTATATTTTTTTGTCACTCTCTACACCTTTATTTATTTGATATTATTTTTCTAAAATTTTCAGCTTTCCAACAATATATTATACGTATTTCTTATGACTGTTACTTCTAGATGTACATTTTCGACCTGGATAAGCATTTTTTTTTTCCCCCAGTTCCCAATTATCATATTCTTTTACTTCAAACTTCAAAATATTTAGCCATTTTTTATAGTTACCGTCAATAAAATAGAGTTAATTTGTTTAAATAAACGATATTAAAGGTACTTTAGGGGAAGACGTATATGAACAGAGGGCATTTAAGACCTGTAAAGAGACATCAATGGGGATAAGACCTAAATTATATCAAAGACCACAATACAATAATACAACGAGTTCAATCAAAATCGTTAAAACCGTTCATGAGAAAATTGTAAAAATGTGTTTCAGCGTTGATATAAAGTTGCACTTGCGGTTAGCCGGTTTTAAGGAAAAAGTTGCTGTCACGTCTAAGGCATATACTTTATCTTAAATACGTAATATCAGTTTCCTACAACTTTTCGTTTTTGAGCTAGACTGCTAACATACAAACACACAGACCATTTTTCGAGACTTGGATATTTGGATTCAGGGTACCTCAAAACGTGTATTTTCACGATCGCAATACTTACACTTACTATATATTTCATATATATGTAAGTGAATAAGACGTAACTAAGTTTATCTTCATGAAAATTCTTAAACTATGTAGGTATATTTATATTTTTATATTTAGAAAGAATTTTTAATTAAAATTAATATTTCTTTTTTAGTTAAGTAGATAATAGATTGGGATCTTGTTATATTAAAACTCTGAATTCTCAAAAGATAAGATATCTCCACGAATAAACTAGGCGAACACCCCGACAGATGAACATAAGTTCATTATATATACATAAGTTTAATTAGATGTAAAAAAAAATATGATATTATGTACTTTATAAACAAATAAACGCTTCTATCTAGCTATCTCATAGCTCATTATAAAGAGGATGAAATGCTGAACGCTTACAGTATGCGTGCCCGATTTTTAGTTTCTGAGATATTTTAACCCATATCTTCAATAAAATTTGTTATCATTTGGTTTTCGACAGTATTTTTTTTTCCTTTTCATCTCTCTAACACAATACAATTTTGAATAATAGCTCATTACAAAGAGGATGGAATGATTAACATTTCCTTCGCTAACAATTTACCAGCAACGAAGGTCTGATTTGTAGAGTTTGAGATATATTAATCCATATTCAAAAACTCTTCAGTTAGTCGACCCGAGCCGACTTTACCCGTGCGTTACATATCGGAGTTCTGACGGCTCAATCTAATTTACTCTCTTAAAAAAATTCAAAACGCTCCTAAAAAAGTTTTTACTTCAAAAAAATATTCTCCAAACACTCTTTAATCATATTCTTTTTAGTTCTAAATCTCGCCCTATAATGTTATTCTTTTACCTCCCACTTGAATTTTTGAATTGTCAAAGGTCGCGTTAAATTGAGATTTTTTAATTTTATAAATATAACTTATCACTATTTATGGGACGGAAATGTAATTTATGAGAATTAGTTGCAAAATACTACAGAGAACTATCTACACGTCATCTACGAGAAGGATACAGAAGAGACTACACTCGCCAGAATTGGGAGGATACTAAAAAGAAAGAGTTTGGCATAGAGGCTGCCGTTTAGCTAAAACCAAACCGGTTCTGTCTGGCCTTCAGCCTCCATCGAGTGGCCCCCTGGATCGGCTGCCTAGTGGAGCTCCTCCAGGCAAAGCCCTGTCATTTCCAATGAAGTAACCTGGGATACGGGTACTTAGGACCAAAGCACCAAGTCTGCTAAAAAAAGATCGTAGTTCATAATTTTTTACAAACCGAAAAATGGATTTTTTAGATAATCGATGAACGTTACTTGCAACAACTTCGTAAATACATTACTAAAAAAAAAAGCATAAGCCTCGAAAAGAAATATAAAGTGATTATGTTATAAATGAAAATCCCAAGCGGATCCAGGATTTAATTTTGGGGGGGCTTCAGCCCGAAAATTGTTTTTTTCATAAAAATAACGATAATTAATCTGAAAAAAAAAGAAAGAAACTAACTAACTGTATGAAGTGGTGTTTAAGTGATTCCTAAAGCCCTTTTAAATGTAAATACACGAACAATAATACTTTAAGAGATACTTTTTAAATATTTTTTTCGATAAAACATGGTTATATTTTATCATTATGGGGGGGAGGGCTTCAGCCCGAAAGCTCCCCTCCCCTTCCCAGTAGATCCGCCCTTGCCCGAAATCTGTCTTAGTCTTGCAAAGTGCCACCAAAGACCAACACCGCTTA